TCGCTGCAACAGAGAGAACACTGCTGGGATTTTTCCTGGCGAAGATTCACAAAATTGACCCAGATGTTGTTGTGGTGAGTAGTTCTGAGACTTTGAGAGTTAAATTAAAGCATATTGTCAGTTGGTCAGCTTTGTTCTTTTTCTTTTGTCCACTTATAGGTTTTTTAATGTTTGTCTTAGACTGCCTTATGAATTGAGTTTGCTTATAAGACGGCAGGTATATTTTGATACAAAGATGATACAGAATTTTCCCTGACAGTGTTTTATACATCCTATTATTTCCTGTAATAGCTAAAATAGGCAGTATTTCCACAATACCTGAAACAAGTATTTTTTTCTTTACTCAGAAAGACAAAACACGACAAAAAAACCTCTGATTTTCTAGAAAAATGGGAACTCTTGGTATACTTCAGAGTCTGTTTCAGTTCAGATGCTCATATAATTTGTGTTACCATTTAGATTGTGTTTATGCTGTAAATCAAAATGATAACCTATACAAATCTGTGGGATCTGAGCAAAGTTTTTTAATAAGCAATCTTATGTTTTCTACTGTGTAGCTGAGGATTTATTACAATTACTCATTTTCTCTTTTTGTTATCTTTAATTACTGTACAGTCCTGAGTTTCACTTACTAAAGTTTTGAAGACAATTTGAAGTTGGTTATAAATCTGAGGTGGTTACACACAACTTGTTATTCTTCTGTAGGTAAATACAAATGATTATGTGGTGGGAATATGATGAAAAGAGCAGTCAGATTCCTGATGTTTTCAGCTCACTGCAGCTGGTATCCAGTATTTGCATTATGACCTAAGCTTCCTGGTGGTTATGGGAAGGAATTGGGGGGAACTCTGCAGTCAGTGGTTTAAAATTGAGGATGCCAATAGTAGGGGTGTGAGATCTTCTATCCTGAAAACAGCAGAGCTGCGTTAGTGCAGTTTAATTTGCACCTGGTTTAATTAATGCTGTTGAAATGCTGCTGCTCGTTTTAAGGAGTTGCTTCTATAGCACAGTCTTGCACTACACAGAGGTACCTGATAGAGTGGACCTGCAGTTCCTGGTGACTGACTCGTGTTCATCAGGGTAGCATTTTGCTTTCAGCTCAGGTTACAGACCAGTGTCATCAATGTCCTTAGCATTGTTTAAAATACTGCTGGAGTGCTTTGATATGTAAATATTGGTTGCAAGGTCTTCCTGTCCAGATTTAACAGCTATGCCCATTGTAACGTCAAAGGGAAAAATTACATTATTTTGATGTTACTATTGCATCTTTCATGGATGGAGACAAAAGGAATTACTCTTAGCTTAAGTTTATATGCTCTGTGGAGAATGTTGTGGTTTTTTTCTAGAAAGCTTTAAATCCTAATGTCTGCTATCAAAGCATAAAGCTATGAGCCAGTTATAGAGCTGATTTTGGTATTCTACTGAACAGCATTGTTAGTGTTAAGACTGATGAGTACTGTTGATGAATGTTCTCTTAGAAAGTGCTTTCTGCGAGAGAGATAATGCCATCAATTAGTTGGAAAAAACCTCAAAGGGCAAAGGAATACTGAGTGTGTGGAAGTAAGTCTTTCAATTTGCATTTGTTGTAACCTTTTTTGTTATTTTTTCTGCCTCAAGGGTCATAATATTTATGGATTTGATTTGGAAGTGCTGCTTCAAAGAATTAATTTGTGCAAAGTCCCTCACTGGTCCAAGATAGGTCGACTGAGGAGGTCTAACATGCCAAAGCTTGGGGTAATAAGATCGCTTAAGTCTTTTAAGCCCCTTTATGTTGTGTGTGATTAAAAATGAATTAACTTTTCTGAGGAATTGTAAATGTGACACTGACGTATTTTGACTGTTGGTCATGCTGAATTTCATGTGTCCCAGATCAGAAATTGAGTGTTTATATGACTTTTATTACAGTAATAGGCTAAACTGATTCTCAAGTTAGGCTAATTTAGTTTACTTAGCTAGATGATGGTAATGACAGATTAATTGCAATAGTCTTTACTGTAACAGTCTTTGCTGTAACTGTAAAATGAGAAAATGCAGTTTGGATTGATGGGTGAATCATCCCATAGAGAGCTGCTAAGTTAATTCTGTAGTTCTTAGTCTTTATTTGTTCAGAGGACAATGTGTGAGGCTTGGAGTACTGAAGTGCTGAACGTGGCTGTGTTCTTGTGTGTTCCTATCATTCCTTGAGGCCAAGATGGTGAAATCTAACTAGTAATGAGAGTTCAGTATCTATTTCTTAACATTCTTATACTGAAAGATACCATGGATTCCTTTAGAGCATCATTGTAAGTCTTGAGTATTTAGTAGAGCATTAGAGTATTTAGTGACCAACTGACTTGACTGAGCCCTATAAACATATATTGTGGCTAGATGGTTTTTTTGCTGATGTTTGTACGTTTAATTTTGTTTGGGTTTTTCTCTCCTTGTGTGATATGGTTAAGGGTCGAGGAGGGTTTGCTGAAAGGAGTGCTGCCTGCGGTCGAATGATCTGTGATGTAGAAATTTCTGCCAAAGAATTAATTCGTTGCAAAAGTTACCATTTGTCTGAACTGGTCCATCAGATTTTGAAAACAGAGAGGGTAACAATTCTACCTGAGGAAATTCGAAATATGTACAGGTATGTTGCTGATTGGGGTTTTCGATCCTCCACTAGAAAGTAGCAGATCTGGTTTCCCAGCGTAAAATTTTATGCTTGCTTACTTCATTTATTCTGTAGATGCTGACTTAGCATACTGGTATTTGAAGGGCTAAATACTATTGTAACATTATGTTACAATGTTTCAAGCTACTTGTGTGTGGTGGTTTATTGTGTGTGAAGCAAATTGATTTGTCAGAACATGGATATAGGTACACTAATGGGTTATGCAAGCTTGAGTTTTGGGATGGTTTTTCAATTACAAGAGCTTGCTGTATAATTCAGCACTGGTGTGCTACAGATACCATGTGTTCTGTACAGCATATAGGTCTAAACTACTACAAAGGAGGCTGATTTGCTAGGCCATGCTCCTTCTTTTCTCAGTGATTCTCCTCGCTTGCTGTTCATGCTGGAAAACACCTGGACAGATGCCAAGTTCATTCTCCAGATCATGTGTGAGCTGAATGTTCTGCCACTGGCTCTTCAGATAACAAACATCTCTGGGAATGTCATGGTACATTTTCATTACTTTCTGCCCTCCTTCCTTTCCCCTCCTCCAAACAGTTCCATGTTTTCTGTGTTTAATTTGCTAGGCTTAATTTCTAAACACTAGTTAAGAATATATGATGCTATAAATTTTTTTCTGTGACGAGTGGGAGAGTTCAATGTTCTAATCAGGTAATAACTTAAAACTTTCTTGAAAATACCACGTTTGAGTTTTGTGCATGGTGGTGATACAGAATGTTGAGTGAACTTAAATAGTTCAAGGACATTGCCTAGTCTGCTTTACTATGTCAGTGATTTCTCTGCTTTGCTTTGAGTTCTTTTTTCACCCCTCTCTTTAGTCGAGGACAATGATGGGAGGACGATCTGAACGTAATGAGTTCCTGCTGCTTCATGCATTCCATGAAAAGGACTACATAGTGCCAGACAAACAAGTTTTTAAAAAACCTCTGCAGAAGCTGGTGGGTCCAGTTTTTCTCCTTCCAAGGATTTTTATTAAAAAATTAAAAAAATCTATCTTTTTTGTATTACTGTTCTGTGAGAGCACAAAGAACCCCAAACATACGTGAGATACAACTTAATGTTACAGCATATGCTTAGTTGAAATACTTTTTTTTTGTTGACTTGATAATGAGAGTGGGACAGTGTAACAGCTTTTCTGTTGTGTTACAGATCTATGGAAACTCAATTGTTCTGTTAGTTTAAAATTAAAATAAGCCCAGTACTTGACTGTGTAGGGAAACAGTAAAGAAGATAATCTGTGTTGCTTAATATATGCACTTAAAATTATTTTGATGAGGAACAGTATTTCAAGTATAATTTGTTATATGGGTAAAATATCCAAAGGTATCAAAAGAAATTCCTTTGAGTAATACCAGTGTAAATAATATTTATGGAAATATCCATTTGTTTTGTTAGTGAACAAATTAAAATTTGAGAAAGTACTTGTATTGCACTGTATTTTGCTTCTTAGTTTTACTTTTATATAAGTTCAACAGCAAATTCCAAAGCAATAAGTTTTCTTGATTGTATTGTTTCATCAAAGCTGGAATTTTAAGTGATTTAGAATAGAATTGAACAACTGATAGAAAAAATCTTACTACTACATAACAAATAATAGGATACTTTTTAGGTCAGTAATAATGGTTTTATTTGTTTTATTAAAACCCAGCCATTCTGTTTCAAAAAACAACATTGTAATTAGGCAATCATATGACTTCTGGGTCATGAATTGATTTTTTTTCCTAGTGTTGACCTTTACAACCAGCTGGAAAATGCATACTAGTGCCATGTTGCATGATGACAATACCTTAAGGTCTTTGTAATCTCTTATTAGCAGTTTGTTCCTATCAGAGTTGGTTTGAATGCTGTTTTGACATGTAGAGAGCTTTAATAAGGATCATGATGAAAACACCATGTTTTACATGTATTTTAAAAGGAACTCTGTGCACTGGCTCCCAAATTCATATTTGATTTGCCAAAAATAACTCGTCTAAGATTATAGAAATCTTAGAGACTAGATAATGACTTTTTTAAATGCCAAATGTAGGTGGATGAAGATGAGGATCTTGAAGATCAGAATAAATCAAATATAGGGAAAAAGAAAGCAGCATATGCTGGGGGCTTAGTCTTGGATCCCAAAGTCGGTAAGATGTGGCAGTTTTCTTTCTTCTGTGAAGATACAGGTAGATTATATTAATGCAGAGAGATTGCAGTGGGGAATCTGTGTATCTTCTGGGAGTTTGGTGTGGTGGTTGCGGGACTGGGGGGAGATGTCATTGCACACAACAAAATTCCCAACATTGATTGTGGAATTGCTGGTTTTGAGGAATTATGACTGTGTGTATGTGTATAAATTTTCTAATGGACACATAAGTTTTCTTTCAGTTTCTCCTCTCTGTGGGGAAAACTGCACAAGTGTCCTATAGTTAACACAGAAGCTATCTGTTCAACTCTGGTGAGTTAACGGGGTTGGATCGTTCCACTTCTGACAACTTTCTGTAATGAGTAGTGATGCATCTCAACACCTGCTTTAAGGGATTTAGATTATGGAAATGTGGTACAGTGTATTACTGTCACTTACATATTAATTGTGGAGTTGTATGGAGTCCTTTCGGTGACTGAGTAATTATGACTTTTGTTTTAAACTCTGTTTTAGGTTTTTATGACAAGTTTATTTTGCTTCTCGACTTCAACAGCTTGTACCCATCGATCATCCAAGAGTTTAACATCTGCTTTACCACAGTGCAGAGACTGTCATCAGAAGCACAGAAAAGGGCCGAGGTTTGTGTGCTTTAACTTGTGGCTTAAGTTGCACCATCTTAACTTCAGTGTGTTTTCTGTGAATCAGCTCTTTAAAAAACTTCTTTTCCACTATTTAATATTTTTTTATCGCGTCTCACACATAAAAAGTGATTCTCATTTAGACATGCATCATATTAAGTTTGGGTTGGGACTTTTTCAATATTTAATGTCTCTCACCTTCCTTTCTGTAATACTCGTATAGAATCTTGGTAAGTTCTCTCCCATCTAGTCTTGGTAACCTCATGAAACAAGTTTTTGCTTTTCAGCCACATGTCCTCCTTGCAGTTTCTGAGCCACTTGACCAGTTTCATCCGAACTTGGTAGAAGCTTCCAAGAGTTAGTTGCCACAGAATTCATGCAAACATACCTGAATGAGGCAGATAAAAGTCTAATGGTTCTGTCTACAGGACAGAATATGATAGGAGCTCAAGCCTTATTAGACATCAGGAAAATTATATGTGTGTCTTGGGGGGTGATATTATGTCTGTCAGCTGTGGTACTAGCTTCACAAACATTCATGCTGTTTAATACAGCATTAAACTGTATTAAACACAACCTGAAGGTGTAGTTCCACTGTTTTCTAAACAGCTGTGTTGGCTCTGGCTTATCCATGGCTGGAGATCCTCATTTCCTCAGCTGTGCTGAAACAGTTGTTGTTGGAGCTGTGTTGTAAACTGAAGCAGTGAGCTGGTCAGGTCTAAAGGTTAAACATTGAGGCTTTTATTTTTAAGTGGTATCAGCTCACAGGTTGGAATTAGTTAGTCCCATAATGACTGAAATATCTGTACCGTATCAGAGAGGAGGAGATAAGTATGCAGAATTTTGTCAGTAAGTTCCTCCAAGCTCTCTGTGGATTTTCCCTGCTTTTTGAAGTGTGCTTCAAGCTGAAGCAGCTCATTTTGGTTTCTATCACTGTACGATATTTAATGAGTCTTTGGTGTAATTTCTTGTTACAGTTCTTCCCAGACTGCTTTACTAAACTTGCCGACCTCATAATGTCTCTGTTGCCCTTCTTTGTACATTTCTGTCTCTTCCATTGTGTTTGAAATTTCTTTCCATTTTCGCTGATCAACCATTTCTTCAGTTATGCTAAGAAAAAGAAGAATATGTGCTTTCTCCTAAATTGTTGTTTTGCTATAATCAAAAGTTGCTTGGGGTGGAGTTTTTGTTCTGTTGCTATGGTGGATTTCTCTTTTGTCAGTTATATCATTCAAAGTATCAGTTCCACAGAGCATGTGCCCCATTTGACAGTTCTGAACACCAAAAGTACTTACGTGATAATAAAAAGGGGTGGATTTTTTTCAGCACGGAAAGAATTGCTTCTTTATATTTTTTTATCTGTCTGTCTATCTGTCTGTCTATCTGTCTGTCTATCTGTCTGT